ATATTTGTATTTTCTACTAGTATGTTTCGGCTGGAGTCTGGTTAGATTTTGTGCGTGGTTTTCAATTGATTCTAATAGAGCTATGGTCACATAGTAAGATTATTTTATCTGCATCGCGACAGATAGATCGTATATACGAGTTCACCTTGAGGTCAAGTGCGAGTTTCAAGCGAGTTTCAAGTCAAATATTCTTTCAACGCACGATGCATCCTCGAGGGGACATCCGTTCATACTGACTGGCGGTAGTTAGTGGTCCGATCCGCGGTAATGGAATCTAACTAGTCTACACGTCTAGTTTCCAAAGCACTGAATGTAACCAACAATTTTGTCCCTTACACTGCGCTCGATCGGAAGAGAGATATGTCAATTTATGATGTGTTTTTAAAATTGCACCATCATATATATATATATATATATATATATATATATATATATATATATATATATATATATAAAAAAAATATATATATATATATATATATATATATATATATATATATATATATATAATTTCATTATAGTTTCAATTTATAATTACATGAATCATTCATACAAAAACAAATATACAGGTTAATGATTTAAATGTCGAGAATATATCTTCGCAAACAATTTCAATAGGATACACTAACCCCGAACCTGTATATGAATGATATGATCCCTGTTTATAAATTCCAGTTGCATCAGGTCTTTTTTTAGTTTTTACAAGCTTTCGTCTGTTCCTACAGACATCCTCAGGTATGGAAATAGATTTGTTCTTGTTTTTTTACTTCTCGGTAATAATAGGACAACGAACATAGAGATGTAATCCGAAAAAAATGCTATGAGAAATGTGTTATTGTTTTGGAACGCGCGGTCGCAACGCTGAGTTTGAACCTTAAAGCACAACATTAAAATTTAATATTGAAACGGAACGCTAATCTTGAAAAAATTCAGTAGTCTGTTTTGATTAGTCTTACTCTTAAGTCCATCGTCTTTTCATGTTGAATTAAATATAGTCTAATGTTAATTATGTTTTATGAATGTTCTGAAGATGGTCTACTAGACCGAAACGTCCGACGTTGACATTATATTAAGATTAAAACAGCATAATTGCATTATGTTTATTATGCATATGTGTAAAGATGGAAATATACGTATATCGTTTCGTGGGAATGTGTGTGTAGGTGTATATAGGAACTCATAGGCATATAAGACGATATAGGTATGTGGTTACAAATAGGGTTTTAAAGACATGTGTAGATAAGAAAATATAAAGAAGGGCCTAAAAACAACCACGAGTTTACTTAATGAAAAAAAATCAAAAACAATCACAAGTTTACTTAATGAACAAAAAATCAAACGAATAAATGTCAACCTAACATGCTATAAGATAAAAGCTTTAGGGGAAAAGTACTAAATATAAATTGGATTACTCTTTCAATGTTCTGTCTATGGATCTTTCCAATCGACTGCTTCATAGGAAATACCCAAAACTCCAACGAATTTCAAATTAATTTCTTCGTAGATTGTTTTAAAATTTTAGATATTTATCAAACCTTAACCTCCCAAATATGCACGTTAAAGTAACGCGAACTGACAGCGTCTAGGAATTTGAATGAAACCTGTCGTGTAATTTATTGGGGCTGTTGTAACGCGTCTTCCTTAATGTAGCCCTTATCGCTCACCCCTTAACTACCTTTATCTAGAGACGAGACGCGTTAGATTTTAGCAACATCCAGCCGACACACTGGGGTTAAAATAGGAAACTAAAATGATACATATGACACACTCATATACTCTCTCCCACCTCACTTCCTTACTTAGTTAACTTTGCGTATACTTGATGAGGTCCGTAAAAACCTGTGAATTTTCTTTTCATTCTTCATTTCAGCTTTTGGAAGTAAAGTCTGATGGTCCAGAACCCTGTTAAAGGGGTTATGGTGAAATAGCTTATTACATGGAATCTTAACGTGGTCTCTTTTTTTCATTTATATATATATATATATATATATATATATATATATATATATATATATATATATATTTGTGGAATCCCCTATAGCCATATTTCTTTTTCTTAGAATTCAGTATCATGAAAAAATATAATAATGAGGGATAAATAGATAAAGGCAGAATCCATGATTTGTACTGACAACGCATGAAAAGACGTGGTTACATTGACCCGAATTGGCCAACTGATTTCCCACCAAGAGTATATCATCCAAACAATAGAATTATATCTTTCATATTTACCAATCAATATTTCTATTTTTTAAACACAAATGCTTTAACAGTTGAAGTTTCTTTTTTCGTATTTATTTAATTGTATGTTTGTTTACAATTGCATAATTCTTTCTATATTTTCTAACTAGCAATTTTTTTTTGTTTGTTTTCTTTCAGTGATCGTCCATTTTTGATCACCTTCTTTATTTTTGTTTTTTTCTTTTGAACCTCTCTTTTTAATTTATCTTTTACTTTTTACTTTTCTTCATTTTTCTTCATTCGAAGATTTTTTTTTCCTTTTACTCTTTTTTAACCTCTTCCATATTTCAGCGTCACTTGATTTTTTGTTATTTTGCCTTTTAATCCTTCTTTCTTCCTTTCTCGTCCTCTACCCGTCTTTCCTTCTTTCTTACTTTCCTTCTTTCCTTCATTCAATTCTTTCATCGCCTCTTTACAATTTTATCTATTTTTTCGTTTTTTTTTTTCTTTTTTTTACTTTATTTTTTTCTGCTTTCATTTTCTTTTTCTACTCTTGTAAATGTTTTTTTTTGTTTCTTTCATTTTTTTCTTTTATTCTTTAATTTTTCTTTTAGTCTTTCATTTTTCTTCTATTCTTTCATATTTTCTTTCTTTCTTCCATTTTTTCTTTCATACTTTCACGCTTTCTTTTATTCTTTCATTTTTCTTCTATTCTTTCATTTTTTCTTTCATTCTTTCGTTTTTTTTCATCCTTTGTTTTTATCATGCTTTCTTCTTTTCTTTCGTTTTTTCTTTCATTCTTTCATTTTTCTTTCATTCTTTCATTTTTCTTTTATTCTTTCTTTTTGTCACAATTTTCCACAATTTTTCTCTTTTTGTTAACAAACTCACTTTATTCCTTTTTGATGTATTCCATTTTTTTTCATTTTCTTTTTCACATTTTCTTTCGTCTTTTGTTTTCCTTTTTTTTTTCTTTTATTGCATTTCTTCCTTTTTGCTTTCTTGCTCTGTTTCGCCTCTTTATTTTACAATTCCTGTTTCAACGTATAACCATTGTATTTCAACATCCTTTCTTTTTTTTCTTTTTCCTTTCTTTTCCATTGTATTCTTTCTTTCTTTCTTCCTTTCTTTATTTATTTATACCTATCTTCCTCTTTTTCCGTTTTCTTTATCTTCCTGTCATTCATTCTTTCTATCGTTCTTACTTTCTTTCTGTTGTTCATTTGTCTTTATTCTTTTTTCGGCCATTCGTTCTTTCTTACTGTCATATGTTTTCTTTTCTTACTTTTATTTTGCTATTTTTGTCGGCATTTATATATTTCAATCTTGCTTTCATTCTTTTTTCCTTATTTTTAATTCTTTCTCTCCCATCCGTCTTTCTGTGTTTCTGTTACGCTTTTTTCTGTCTCTTTTCTTTTTGCTTCTGTCATAAATTCTTTCTTCTGTCACTTTTTTATTCTTTTTCTTTCCCTATTTTATTCATTATATCCCTCTTTTTTTCTTCTTCTCCTCTCATATGTCCCCTCTCTTTTTATCATGCTTCCTTTTTGTCATTCTTTCTTTCTGCGTTTATTACTTTCTTTCTCTGGTTCTTTCTTGTATGTTTTGTCTTTCTTTCCCTCATACATTCTTTCTTTCTTTGTTTCTCTCATCATTTCCTTTATTCTTTCTTTCTTTCTTTCATGCATTGTATAATTAATTGTTGCTTTCACTCATGAACATTTTTCTTGTTTTCCATTTTGTATTCCTCCCGTTATTCCTTCTTTTTCTTTTTCTTCTTCCTCTTTCATTATGCCCCTTCCTATTCTATCATGCTTTCTTTTTTTTGTCCTTTTTCTTTGTGACATTATTATTTTCTTTCTCATATTCTTCGTTATTTCTTTGTTTCCTCCATTCTTTTTTCATTCATTCATTCATTCTTTCGTTTTTTTTCTTTATTCTTTATTTATTCACTGTTACTGTTATCCTTTCTTCATTCATTCATTGTTACTTTTAATTCTTTATTTATTCGCTCCTTTATTCTCTTTTTCTGTTATCTTTCTTCATTCATTCATTGTTTCTTTTTTCTTTTCTTTCCCTATTCTTTTCTTTATTCACTGTTTCTGTTATTCTTTCTTCATTCATTCATTGTTTCTTTTTTCGTTTTTATTTATTCGCTCCTTTATTCTCTTTTTCTGTTATCTTTCTTCATTCATTCATTGTTTCTTTTTTCTTTTCTTTCCCTATTCTTTTCTTTATTCGCTGTTTCTGTTATTTTTTTTCTTCATTCATTCATTGTTTCTTTTTTCGTTTTTATTTATTTGCTCCTTTTTTCTTTTTCTGTTATCTTTTTCATTCATTCATTGTTTCTTTTTTTTTTCTTTCCCTATTCTTTTCTTTATTCACTGTTTCTGTTATTCTTTCTTCATTCATTCATTGTTTCTTTTTTCGTTTTTATTTATTCGCTCCTTTTTTCTCTTCTTCTGTTATCTTTCTTCATTCATTCATTGTTTCTTTTTTATTATTTATTCCTTTCTTTATTCTCTGTTTCTGTTATTCATTCTTCGCTCATTCTTTCTTTCTTTTTCTTTTCCTTTTCCTTTTTTTATTATCTTCTGTTTCTGTTACTCTGTCTTCATTCATTCTTTCTTTCATTTTGACATCTTTTTTTTCTTACTGATATTTTTTTCAATATTTCTTTCCTATTTATTTCTCTAATTCTTTCTTTCATTTCTTTTTCTTTCTTTTCATTCTTTCCTCTTACCATTTATTTTGTTTCACTTACACTTTATTTTTTCTTCAATTTGCCTTTTTTTTTTCTGTAATATATTCTTTCTTCTATGAAACTTCCATTTCTTTTCTTTCTCTATTTCATTCAACTTTTCTTCTTCGTTCATTATTCCTTTTTATCTCTTTCTTTTTATTTTTTTATTATTAATTGTTTCGTTCTTCTTTCATCTCTCTATATTTTGTTCGCCGTTTTATTCATTCATAATTATTTCACTTGCTCACTTAATTTCGTTCATATTTCTATACAATACTCGAATATGATCTCTCTTTTACCTATTCTTAAGTTATTAACGTTTCTTTATGTGCATATTAATAATGACCTAAAACGAAATATTTCGTTTGTATATCTTTGTTTGGAGATCGTTTGCATGATTTTATTTAGAGTTAAATTAATGAACTTCTTGATATGCATATACACTCGGATTCCTATTCTTTTATTCCATTTTTCTCCTATCATCCAATATACCCTTATGTTAATATATCATTAAATTTACGATTTTTCATTATTATATTGACTTTTTTTCTGCTTTAATCTTCCCAGAAGCGCCCCCTCTTCCTTTTGCATTCTTCCACATTTCCTTTTGGAAATATAAACCAGCTTTGCTCCCATTCGTGCTTATTGCAATTTTTCATTGGCTTCTCAACTTCATTTTCCAAACACAGTCCCTTAACTTTCTTGAATAAGTTTCTGTTAAAAACAATCTCTTCGGGTATAAATGAGGTGGATCATCGCGCAGTTGCTGATATTGTCTTTTTTTACCTGTTTATTTTTATCTTTCTGATGTCTTCTTGTCGAGTTGTGGCAAGTTAATTAGCGTTACTCATAGCAGTGTTCTTTTTTGTCTCTAATGAAAACCTATGACTACTGAGACAAGTCAAAAGTTAATAGTAGGTACCTTCAACGTAGCGGAATACATAAGTTTCAAAATGAATTTTTAAACATGAATGAATATACTTGAATATTTTATTCTACTTTTAATTCCAAGCTAATAGATAAAATCTAATATTTCCAATAAACAAAATGCCTTGCTGTATTTCAAAACTGTTTTAAATTGAGAGGAGGAAGGTGTTTTAAATAGGTAAAAATCGATGATCACAGCCCTTTTAGACATATCAGCACAATGAAATACTTCTCTTAAAGTCTATCTCATATATATATATATATATATATATATATATATATATATATATATATATATATATATATATAATGATGGGGGAAATGTATAGCAAAGTGGAAAAAAAAAAGTTTATGTTGATAAGACTGTTACAGTTTTTTTGCATACTTATTTGTGCTAGTGAACTAGCCAAAATGAGCTGACTCATTTTATAGTCCACCAAGAGAAAGGTTAACCAATCAGAAAGCTCAAAATATTCAATCCGACGTGTATACAGGCAGCCATTTTGTTTTTTCTCCAAAAATATCTTCACTGCCAACCTCTGATAGCGAAGAGCAGAAGAATTATTGAAATGCTGCTACTAGTGATATTGGCGTTGTTCCATTGAACACATTACGTACTGCACTGGATTCTATATTCAAAGACTACGGCAAACATGGTCAACAAAGACAACACATGCAGAGAGGCGAGGTTCTGGTGGATTTTAGAATATTTAATTTTTTTTATTTTTTTTATTTTATGTAAACAATTCAATACGATGTAAAGGTCTAGAGTGTGCCTTGATCGCAACGTAATCTACAGTAAATTTTCACTCTGACTCTTACAGCATTTCACCATTCATGACAGATCTAATAAAATATTTATTAATAATAAACTTAACCCAATTTGACTTTTCAAAACAGACGTTTTCTATGTAGCTAACAGATATAACACATCAGACCAAATAACGGTTCTGTGTAGGATACAGGTTCGATTCCTGTCGGCGGAGATATTTTCTACAAAATTTCTCGGATATTCACGGCAGTCAATGTAATTAATACTGTTCCGTATGAACAGAGAATTTACTTAAATAAGTTTATATATAAAAAGTAATGTGTAAACAGAAAATATATTAAAATAATTGTTGAACTTATTTCATTTCATAGTAGATGTTGTTATTTCTTTACGTTAATATAAAGTTCGACAAATATGATCGTAAGAGAAAGATCAGGGGAAATTGGTTTCTTTAAAAACGGTAATTTGACTTTGCTAACCAGACGCTTCCTCTGTAGCGAAATGGCGTAGCACGTCAGGCCAATAACGGTTCCCTTGTAATACATGTCCGATTCCTGTCGGAGAACACATTATCTAGAAAGTTTTTCGTAGATTCAGACTGGTAAATGTAATTAATACTGTTTATTATAAACAGAACATTTACTTAAATAATTGTATCTATAAAAAATAGCGTGTAAACAGAAAATATATTAAAATAATTGTTGGACTTAGTCCATTGAATGCATATATATATATATATATATATATATATATATATATATATATATAAGACATTTCTATGTTTATACATTCTATTTATAGATAAAATATTTAAGTAAATACTCTGTTTCTAATAAAAAGTAATAACAACATTTACCGGCCTGAAAATCAGAGAAATTGTCACAGAAAATTTGCGTCCTCCAACAAAAATCAAACCTGTATCTTATACGTAATCGCCATATAGTCTGATGTGCTTTTACCGATCTCGCCACAGAGGTGCGTGTGGTTTGCACGGTCGATTTTACTGTTTTTAAACTACAATTTTCCATGATTTTCACACGTACATTCATAACTGCTCGATGCGTATCCAAATGTAAACAAATTACGTCACACATTATGAGATGGACAAAGTCCGACAATTATTTTAAGACATTTTTATATTTATACATTCTTTTTATAAATACAAATATTTAAGTAAATTCTCTGCTTATAAAAAACAGTATTAAACAATATTTTACCGGCCTGAATGTTTGAGAAATTTTCATAGAAAATATTCGTCCTCCGACAGAAATCGAAGCTGTATCCTATACGGAACCGTTATATTTACTTAAATATTTGTATCTCTAAAAAAGAATGCATAAATATAAAAATGTCTTAAAATAATTGTCGTCGGACATTGTCTATTTCATATATATATATATATATATATATATATATATATATATATATATATATATATATAAACCCGGATATAAGAGAGTTGTCGGGACCGGAGAAGAATCTCTTATATCCGGGTTTCTCTTATATCCGGGTTTGGTCTATTTTATATACATTAACACAGGCTCTAATTTGGGACCAGAGAAAATCTCTCTTATATCCGGGGTTTCTCTTATATCCGGGTTACACTATATATATATATATATATATATATATATATATATATATATATCACAAAAAAGAATGTATTGGTAAAACCAATAGAAAAACTGCCTGGTGACAAAAAAAAAAGGAATAATAAACTAATAAAAGAAAACTAAAAGCAAATAACATGTAAAATAACTGGACGACAAAAACTAAAACGGAAATATACATTACCAAATTTCCCAAAGAAAACACCATTTTTTCCCGCTGCGTAAACTCATGTTCTTCAAGAAACTCGATGATTCACGTTTATGTTTCGAAATTTGATTTAGCCACATAAAAATTCTTAAATATTTTCCTCTGCCCATCTCCAGATTCGTGAGTACGTACAATCTTCTGCCTTAAGTCAAAACCATCCTCCATGCTCCATGATCATGACATCGCTGGTAGAATATTTTGTAGACTAAAAGAAAGTTGCCAAAAAAAATGATGTCCCATAGCCTTGCCACGCGTTATTGTAGAAGTTTAGTTTAGAACATTCTAAGGAAGGCATAACCACTATTCATTCATACTTCATCATTTACTTAGCGCATTTTGCGCCGCTGTGGTAACCCTAGCCTTTATTTATGGTGCAATTTTGGTTCACAGTAACATTCAAGTTAAAATAGTGCAATACATTGCCGGTTCTTTTTTCATCGTGTTATTAAAGTTACTCCGTCCCTCATATAAGAAGTTCCTCCGCACACTGGTAAAGTCATTGACCTCTGAGGTGCAACTCCTACACGTAGACTGGCGACATGCCGATCGCCGCTTGGGATAAGTGGGTTGGAGAGTTTCCCTTCACCTGTCGGATCACGAAAACTTTCCGACTAATCTCACATAGTTTACCCGGCACGTCACTGTTGTTGACCAGGGTGTGGCTGTGGCAGTGCCCAAAAGATATTTTGGAGTCATGTGTGACAGTTGGATGAAGACTGTGAACTAACAATTCTGCGCGCTAATTCACCAAAGTAAAGCAGAGTCGACTGCATTGCTGCAAACGTACCAACACTGATGATAATGACGATAAACTCATGAAAACATATTTTGCTCTAGTTGTCGGAGGAAACAGTAAAAAAATACTCTAATCCTCGGCACGTATATTTATATTGTATCACAAATCTGTATATATATATATATTTTTTTTTGCAACGCAATCATCAAATTGTGATGTAGATGACAATAATTTTGAACGGAACTAGAACATTTTATCGGCTGATATTATGATATCTACAATCTCCAGATGTCCTCCTTTGGTAAAATATATACTTTGACGTATAAAAATATTAGGACATTTTCATTGACATCTAATTTCGGGAGTAATTCAATAAAAAGTCATTGTTGACAAGGGATTACAATGATTATGTGCCTGAGTGTATGCATCATCATCACGTTCTGAGCGAACTGCATACATACTCAAGTAGGTGGCCCAGAGAAATACAGCGTTGTGTGGAGAGAAAGCCAAGAGACAATTATTCTGACATAGAATTAGCTATCAGGCAAAGAGTGCTAGAAGGAAGTCATTGATCACCTCATTCAACATTGAAATAATGGGCCAATAACATGCCGAATGTAGGGTTTGGATATTTGACAGGGTGTAATTTTCTCGGATAAATCATCCTTTTCCCCCATTATCTGCTGGTGGAGATTTTTTAAATGATTCACCCCAAGTAAGACGATAATGCCACTACGATGCAAACGGCTACTCTGAGTGAAAGTGAATGAAAAGGCTTTAGACGGAACCGGAAGCTGAAACCTAAACAGGAAGTAAAGCATAAACCTCTACTCTCTAATATAAGTGGATGTGTCTATTTCAAGTGTTTATAAGCACTATTCAACTTTGCATTGTCATCGGTGGATTCCGAGAGGTCAAATCATGTCAGATGTAATGTTGGTTTCCTCTAGGAGAACGCTGGTTCGAATCCTGCAGGAGAGCGCATATTTTTCTTCAATAAGATCTTGCGAATATTCAGGCCGATACAAGAAAATAAATAAATATACTGTTTAATACGGAAGCGAAGTGTCCATTCATTTACGAGTATCCACTAATTATCAATAATTAAAAAAATCCACTTTCTTTTCAAATATATATATATATATAATATAATAATATATAATATATATATATATATATAATGCGACTAAACCCCAAGGAGTAACAGGATGTAGAAAAATCAGGAAAATAAACATTAATTATGAGCGGGAAAAGAAAAGAGTAAACAGGAAGACAGTAGATAGCGATTGGCATTGCATTAAAATTTTGCAGATTAAATTTGGCTAGAAACCATGGAATCTGAAGGAATTCCACAATCGAAACTGTTAGCATAGAACTTACGCCTACATCTTACCAGTTCAGTGAAATGGCATTCTTATCACCTGACTCTCCATGGATTCATATATATATATATATATATATATATATATATATATATATATATATATATATATATATATATATATTTTTTTTGGAAGCAAAGTCTGATGATCCGCAGTCCTTTTTAAAAGGTCTGTGGTGAAATAACTTATTACATGGTCTGTTTAAATTTAAAATGGTCTGTTTATATTTAAATTATTTGATCTGGATTTACATTCAGCTCTCTGGATTTTGTCCTCCTTGGGTTTACCTATACGGTTTACCTACCTATATATATATATATATTTATATATATATATATATATATATATGTGTGTGTGTGTGTGTGTGTGTGTGTGTGTGTATGAATGTATGTGTGTGTGTGTATTAATGTATGTATAAAAATAGTTAAAACATTGTGTCAAGTTTATTCCCTTCTGGTCGTATATTTAATTTAAAACTCCTGTTGGGCCTATTACATCCATTTAGCATGTTTGCCGTTATGATAAACGGGAATACATTTTTTTCTTGTTACAGTTCAAATTAAAGTACAGGGGGAATTATTTGTATTGCATAGTAGCCATTATAGGCAAAATATATTTCTTGAATGAAACTGATGTCGTGAAGAGCTTGTAGAATGTGTCAATTTTTGATAATTCACATCAACCAGCCGTGAGCAGTTCAAACATGCATCTGGATTCTAGATTCTATCTTCTGGAAGAGATGTCTATACGATTGGTCTGAAAGTGTCTAACGCTTTACTCTGTTTAAAATGAAATAACATCTACTCTTACGATGGACTGGGCATTGAATTTATCCCTGTTGACGTAAGGTGAACGCTTCAGCATCTTTGACACAAATCATGATTTTATGCTAGAAAATTGGTAATGATTTTTCTTTTCTGTTTTTTTTATTCCATTATACCTTATTTGTCTTCCTTTATTTCTTTTACTGTTTTATTTTTTTCTTTCTTTTACTGTCTTATCCTTCGTTTTCTTTCTTTTTTTACTGTCATATTCTTTGTTTTTCTTTTCTTCCTTTCTTTTACGCTCTTATTTTTCGTTTTTTTCTTTCTTTACGGTGTTATTCTTGTGTTTCTCTTTCTTTAACGGTCATATTCTTTGTTTTTCGTCTCTTTCTTTCTTTTATTGTATTTTTTTATTTCTTTTACGCTATTATTCTTTGTTTTTTTATTTTTTTTTTATTTTTTCGCTTTTTTTTCTTTTACGATCTTTTTTTTATTCTTACAAGGTCTTTTATTTAATCTTTTCCGGTTTTTTTTTCTTTTATTTCTTTTTTTCATACTATTACCGACTTATTTTTAGTTTAGCTTTTGCTTTTCTTTCTTTTTACTGTCTTGATTTTTTTTTTCTTTCTGTTGATGTGTTATTTTATGTTTTTCTATTATTCTTTTTCATCTTACTTTTTTGTTTTTCTTTCTTTCTTTTAATGTCTTTTTTTCATTCTTTTGCTGCCCTTTCTTTTTTTTTACGATTTATTCTTTGCTTTTCTTTTTGGGTTTTTCATTCTTTTGCTGATTTGTTTCCTTTCTTTTTTCTTTTACGATCTTATTCTTTGCTTTTCTTTCTGGTTTTTTCATTCTTTTGCTGATTTGTTTCCTTTCTTTTTCTTTTACGATCTTATTCTTTGCTTTTCTTTCTGGTTTTTTCATTCTTTTGCTGATTTGTTTCCTTTCTTTTTTCTTTTACGATCTTATTCTTTGCTTTTCTTTTTGGGTTTTTCATTCTTTTGCTGATTTGTTTCCTTTCTTTTTTCTTTTTACGATCTTATTCTTTGCTTTCTTTTTTGGGTTTTTCATTTTTTGCGATTTGTTTCCTTTCTTTTTTTCTTTTACGATCTTATTCTTTTTTTCTTTCTGGTTTGTTCATTCTTTTGCTGATTTGTTTCCTTTCTTTTTCTTTTTACGATCTTATTCTTTGCTTTTCTTTTGGTTTTTTCATTCTTTTTGCTGATTTGTTTCCTTTCTTTTTACGATCTTTTCTTTGCTTTTCTTTCTGGTTTTTTCATTCTTTCTGATTTTTTCTTTTTTTTTTTACGATCTTATTCTTTGCTTTTTCTTTTGGGTTTTTCATTCTTTTGCTGATTTGTTTCCTTTCTTTTTTCTTTTTTACGATCTTATTCTTTTGCTTTTCTTTCTGGTTTGTTCATTCTTTTGCTGATTTGTTTCCTTTCTTTTTCTTTTACGATCTTATTCTTTTGCTTTTCTTTCTGGTTTTTTCATTCTTTTGCTGATTTGTTTCCTTTCTTTTCTTTTTACGATCTTATTTTTGCTTTTCTTTCTGGTTTTTTTCATTCTTTTTGCTGATTTGTTTCCTTTCTTTTTTTTTTACGATCTTATTCTTTTGCTTTTCTTTTTGGTTTTCATTCTTTTTGCTTTTGTTTCTTTTTCTTTTTTTTCTTTACGATCTTATTCTTTTGCTTTTCTTTCTGGGTTTTTCATTCTTTTGCTGATTTTTTCCTTTGTTTTTTTTTCTTTCTTTTACGATCTTATTCTTTGCTTCTTTGCTTGAGTTCTTGCATTCTTTATTTCCTCATAAAATTTAAACCTTTCATACACACTTTTTCATTTATTTCTTTCTGTCTGATTTTACTTGCTTGCATTTCTATATAATCTTGCCACCGCTCAACGTTTGTCATATTATTTTTTTATCTTAAAACAATTACCAGGTATTAACCCTTAATGTGTTATGATTAACTAACGTCAAGAAAAGGAGAAATTTCATATCTTACGTTTCAAAGGCAGATAACATTTGCCTGATCTCAATCAAAGTAACTAATTTACGGTAACCGAGTCTTTTAATGTCACTATCCGATCAGGAAAAATAAATGATTGATTACAGGCAATTATATAGAAATTTTGTCATTTCAATATAATGTCTTTATTTTTTTTCTATTCATATCTGACAAATCTTTTTAACTTAGAAATATTTTTTTCTTTTCTTGCACTAACTATTCCTTGAATCTTCGCCACTCCATTTTATATCAAGGGATTATGTATTTAAATCTCTAGTCTTAGTATCTCCATTTATTAGGAGTGAAGACAGTTGACTAATTACATTGGTTTTCTGATTAGTTATGATGTTATATTCCGGAAAATATAATTTCAGAAATTTTCGGTCGACTAGTGTATGATAATATACAACCTCCGGTAACAAAAGTTCTGATCTGAGGGATATGAGGAACATGGAATCGCCTCTAAATTGCTGTTGTTCTCAGGTCCAATATGAACTGTGGTGGTAGCGACTGTTAGGGACCAAGATATGGGCAAATTGTGAACTTCACCAAAACTGGCGTCAAAACATGAAAATATGAAAATACATTAGAAAAATTACTTGCAATAGATTTTCATAGAAAAAAAAATTACCAGCAATTCATTTCTGGAAAGAAACTACCAAATTTCACAAGAAAATAAAATTCCCGGCATTAAATGAGACATGAGGGATTGATATGCCGTTAAACAAAGAACAAATGACACATGAGGTGTTGATATGCCGTTAAACAAAGAACAAATGACATAACTTAGCATTCCTGTTCAAATACTATACACATTTTCATGTCAATTACTTTGATAAATTCTCCTCTTTGGTATGTCTACTTTAAGCAGTTGAAATTGCTATATGTAAAGTCCCATGAAAACAGTTGCTTCTTTCGCACTTCACATTTGTGGAACTTTCTTCCGGTGTCTCTCTTTCCAACCAACTTTGATGTAAATTCAACGTTATCTTCTGTCTTCTTAATTCTAGTTCTTTTACTATTATCCATCCTAAATATTGCTTTTGTCTTACGGCCACATCTCGTTGAAACACCGGTTTCTGAAGGATCACCTAAGTTAAGCAACGTTCAGCCTGTTCAAAACCTAGATGGGTGATTGCTTGGGAATATCAGGGGCTATAAGCTCGGATGTGTGGATGGTATAATGGACAATGGATTTGAATTGTCAATCGGAAAGACAAGTTTCAATTCCTAATGCGGTTATCATCTTCACTTAAAGGCAAATACAATTGGGAAATGTATCAATCCACCTCTTGTCTCCCAGGTGTGGGCTGATTATTAAAACTTGTATCGCTAAATTATCGCTAAGTCCCCACAATAAATAATAATGCTTAGCATTTAAAAAATATTTTTTGGCTTTAAATAACCTGCAAATGATTGATAACAAATTATTCCATCAATCAATGTTTGTTGTTGTTTTCTGTATTTTTACATATTCTTTCATACTCTTAGTGTCTTAGTGGCTTTGTTACCTTGCTTCGCGTGAAGCGATTAAAATATTTAAGACGTACTGCTTTCACCCCTTTTAAACATTATTGATGATATTTCAAATTTTACCGAATCTTGTCAACCACACTGAAAATGCACGTTATTGATAATAGTCCAACAGTAGATGAACAAGACAAAAAAACATAAAATTTGATGGGTTTATTCATAATTTGTTTTTAATCGAAAACACACAAACATAAATATATATATATATATATATATATATATATATATATATATATATATATATATATATATATATGGCGTAGTTTTTTTTTACTGTTTTTCTTGCTGCAAATATTGCTTATGGAGCCTTCATTATTTTTTATTTGTGATATACAATCATATATTGAATGCATTTCTAGGTTAGTTGCTAAGAAAGATGGTTTACTGTGTCGTGCGAGACATTTTTTTTTTTCTCTCTCCAGAATCTATCATACATCTACCATAAGTCTACCATTCAACTATGCTTAGAATATTGCTGCCACATATAGTGTGTATGTATGTGTGTGTCTGTATATATATATATATATATATATATATATATATATATATATATATATATATATATATACATATATATATATACGCGATAGATAACAGTCAGATAACGGTTTAGAGGGTGGCTGTTGGACGAACACTTCTAACAATAAGGACTTTGCACTATGCCACACAAACAGAAGAAGTCATTCATGGCGGCAAGACTATTCCTGCAGCCACATCACCCATTAGATCTGGCAATCTAATACCCTTGTCTTCAACCCCGTTGATTATAAAGTGGGGGGTGCAGGGGAGCAAGAGACCAACAAGAACAACAAAGATGAACTGAAGGTAAGGATTATGGCAGCATTCACCAACTTAAACAAGGAGACCGTCTACAAAATATTCGCGAGATTCGTAAGACTTCTGGAGGCCGTGGTTGAAGCCAATTGCGATTCTCTTGACAATTTTACCCTTTAGCATTTCAAGATACTTTTTTTTGTAATTTTGTTAAATATATCTGTTAACTGAGATACCAGTGTTATTACAATTGTTTTGAAATTTAGACGACAATTTATCCATTTCAGCTTGTCCTTATATATGCACACGCACACACAATGATGCTTCAATGCAAATGTGAAGTATTGTCGTCAGCTGGTTCTTAATATTGTAAATAATAAATAACTGTAGAAAGACAAAATGAAACAGAATAAATATTTGGATTGTATATTTTATTTCCAAGCATGCATTGTGTGATAACAGCGATCCGTTAACTTTAATCTTCTAAAATTTAACAACTTCGATATCTAAAATTACTTAAATAATGAATAAACACTGCAAGTGCATGTTAGTTTAATCTATTCGGATCTTCATTCTATTAGGGGTCCGCTTTCTGATTCCGTTTGTTGTGATGGCGTTTTCCATTCTCCAGTGAAATCCGAATAATGAAAGCAACTGATTGTAAAAATTATTTTTTAAATTCTTCGGTCGTGGTTTCTGGTAATGTGCTTGTCTCAGTATTATAAAACGTGGTTGTGCCAGTATTATAAAACCATGTTGGTTCTGTCGTGGTTGATTCATAACACGGGTTCGAGTCCTTTTGGCAACAAAACGCATCCAGATATTTCTTCAGTACCATCGTATGATATTCCCTGTAAGAGAAAGAGAATAGGGAATAGTTTCAAAGAAATGAAATAAATATAGGGTGAGATGTCGTCTGAATCACGCAAAAAGGAAAATACCACTGACATCTCGTTTTCACGGACATATTTATCAATATTACACAAAATTATCTCGAAATAATAAAGAGTAAATATATTAAATAAAATCGCTATCGGCTTCAACTATGACCTCGAAACGATTTCAGGATATCTCGCATCTCCTCTGGACGATCCCCGTGATTAAGTTGGTGAACGCAGCCATAGTACTCTTAGTTCATCATTGATGTTACAAGTAGTTTTGTTGGTCTCTCGCTCAATACGACCCACACATAATAATCAAGGGGGGTTCCAGTCTGGTGAGTTAGGTGACCACATATAACGGGTGATGTGGTCGCAGGAATAATCTGACAACCATGCCTGGGTTATCCCGCTTGTGGCATGCTGCAGAGTCTTCTTGCCAGTCATCGGTTCTTCCAGCAGCTTCCTCAAAGTACTTGATGAACTTAGACCTCCTCAAACCCCTTAATGAAAGCTGGCCTCCTCAAAGCACTTGATGAACGTTGACCTCCTCAAATCACTTGATGAACGTTGACCTCCTCAAAGCACCTGATGAACGTTGACCTCCTCAAAGCACCTGATGCACGTTGACATCCTCAAAGCACCTGATGAACGTTGACCTCCTCAAAGCAC